AAAAAAAAAAAAAAAAAAAAAAAAAAAAACTATGTTGAAGGGGCTGGGCATGGTGGCTCAAGCCTGTAATCCCAGCACGTTGGGAGGCCGAGGCAGGCAGATCACTAGGTCTGGAGTTCAAGTCCAGCCTGGCCAACATAGTGAAACTCCATCTCTACTGAAGATACAAAAAATTTAGCCAGGCATGGTGGCAGGTGCCTGTAGTCCCAGGTACTTGGGAGGCTTAGGCAGGAGAACTGCTTGAAACCAGGAGTCAGAGGATGTAGTGAGCCGAGGTCGCACCACTGAACTCCAGCCTGGGCGACAGAGTGAGAATCTGTCTCGAAAAAGATAGGGACGGGGAGGGGAGGGGAAAGAAAAAAAAGAAAAGAAAGATTAGCCAAGCATGGTGGTGTGTACCTGTAATCCCAGCTACTCAGGAGGCTGAGGCAGGAGAATTGCCTGAACCCAGGAGGCGGAGGTTGCAGTGAGCCGAGATTGCGCCATTGCACTCCATTCTGGGTGACAGAGTGAGACTCTGTCTCAAAAAAAAAGAAGTAGAAAATAAAGTTTTGATATTAGAAGTAAGCAGAAGGTATTTGTCTATGGGGAGAGTCTCAGTTGAAGGTGACCTAGATGTCAGAAAAGTTACAAGTAAACAAAAACAGGGATCAACGGGGCATGAGATAGCAATGTTACTTTAGTGCCCACCAGGTTACAATATTGGTATTTGAGGAAGAGTTAATTTTTCATTTCACTGCAATGAGAGACTTTCTATAGGCATTTAGCTTCATTTCTATATTTAAGTCAATGGAAAAGTTTCTCCTTAGGCATCTTGGCAGTCATATATTAATAAAATAAAGAATATCTGGGCATTGTGGGTTATGCCTGTATTCTTAGTACTTTGGGAGCCTGAGGCAGGAGGATCACTTGAGGCCAGGAGTTCAAGACCATCTTGGGCAACATAGCAAGACAAAAGCAAAAGAACACATATTTGAGAGTGATATCAGCAAGATGGCCGACTAGAGGTGATTGGCATTCATCCCTCAACAAGAAAGGATGAAGGCAACAAATAAACAGCTAAGATTTTTAGAATTTTATTTTTAGAGATAGCTTTAGCTATGTTGCCCAGGCTGGCCTCAAACTTGTGAACTCAAACGATCCCCCTGCCTCAGCCTGCCAAGTAGCTGGGATTGCAGGTGGAAGCCACCACAGAAAAAAGCTAAGATTTGACTGGAGTGTCAACAGGAAAGCACTGGAGTGCATCAGAGGAGTGGAGATGTACTTGTGGCAACTGGAGGCCCAGGAGGGCAGCTAGAGGCATCTAGCCTCTGCAGCCCTGTCACCTCCACCAGAATCAGATCTGCCTGCAGTCAGGAGGGGATTCCTGTTGTGGAGAAACAGTAAACTGAAGATCCCCACCAGCCCCCACTGTTACTGCAGGCACCTACAGTCCTTACTACAGGAGAATACCCTTGTTTAATACCCAAGTCTCCCAGTTTGGAGAGCTGCCAGGAATTACTGCACCTGCATTGCCCTGGATTAGGAGCACAAGGTGTGTACTCTAACTGCCATTAGCTTCTGCAGCACAGAACCATCTTGAGATGAGAACCACTTCTGGAATGCACTCTGGTCTGCTGGGGGCCAGTAGCCACTGCACGTCTCCAGCATTAACGCTCCATATTCATTTGACCAAGCCCACAGGGGCTTGGTAGGAGTGGCTTCAACGTCATGACCCCAGTTGCTTGGAGCCTAAGCAGATGTGCTCAGGGTAAACATGCCCTTGAGCTGGCCAAACTGCCACATGCCCTTTCTGGAGTGGGAGAGAATTTCAAGCAGCTGACACACTCAGCTGCCTGTGCCTAGGGCCTGAGAAACAGCCTTGAGATGCCACACCCCTACAGAGAAGCCCCTGATCTGCCCAATGGGCCTATACTCCTAGTAAGGGCCTGAGAAGCAGCCTTTTTTCTTTTTTTTTTTTGAGACTGAGTCTCCCTTCTGTCACCAGGCTGGAGTGCAGTGGCACGATCTTGGCTCACTGCAACCTCTGACTGCCTGGTTCAAATGATTCTCCTGCCTTAGGCTCCTGAGTACCTGGAATTACAGGCATGCACCAGCATGCCTGGCTAATTTTTTGTATTTTTAGTAGAGACGGGGTTTCACCATGTTGGCCAGGATGGTCTCGATCTCCTGACCTTGTGATCCACCTACTTCAGCCTCCCAAAGTGTTGGGATTACAGGTGTGAGCCACCATGCCTGGCCTTTTTGTTTTTTTTAAGAGACAGGGTTTCACCATGTTGGCCAGGCTGGTCTTGAACTCCTGACCTCACAATCCTCCTGCCTTGGCCTCCCCAAGTGCTGGAATTACAGGTTTGTGCCACTGCGCCTGGTGAGAAGCAGCCTTGTAAGCAGCCTCTGGTAGACATACCCCAAGACAAGCCAAGCAGTCATGCAACTGCATACCAGGCATGAGAAACAGCCCCACAGTCCCAAACCTGGCAAAGCCACCATCACCACCAACTCTCTTAGCTTAGGCTACTGAGAAACTTGCAAATGCCACTAGAATTACAGCTGAAGAAACCACACAGACACTATATGTGCCCACCTAGAACCAAGGCCAATGCACCCCATTTAACTGATACCCCAAGACCTATTCATATGAGTATGTTCTTCCCTATGAAACCTTCTCTATAAAATTGCAAGAGGTGACTTTCCTTTTTTTTTTTTTTTATTTAAAGATGGGGTTTCACCACATTAGTCAGGCTGATCTCGAACTCCTGACTTCAGGTGATCCATCCACCTCAGCCTCCCAAAGTGCTGGGATTACAGGCGTGAGCCACTGCACCCGACTAAGAGGTGACTTTCCTAACCAATGTGTAGAAATCAATGGAAGGACACATAAACCATGAAAATGCAGGGAAACAAGTCACCTCCAAAGAAAAATGTTAATTCTCCAATAACCCTAATCATAAGAAAATATACGAAATACCAGAATAAGAATTCAAAATAATAATCTTAGGGGAACTCACTGAGATACAAGAGAATACAGACAAGTCAATGAAATCAAGAAAACAATTCAAGATTTGAATGAGAAATTTCAGAGGTAGAATGCTGGGTGCAATGGCACGCTTGTAACCCTAGCACTTTGGAAAGCCGAGGTGGGAGGGTCACTTGAGCCTAAGAGATCATGACCAGACTGGACAACATAGTGAGAACTTGCAAAAATAGCTGGATTTAATGGTTTCAAAGAGCTAGAAGGAGGATACTAAATATTCCCAATATGAAGAAATGATATGTTTGAGATGATGGATATGCTAATTACCCTGATCTGCTTACCATACAATATATGTATTGAAACATAACTAGGGGGCCGGGCTCGGTGGCTCATGCCTGTAATCCCAACATTTAGGGAGGACGAGGCAGGCAGATCACAATCATCCTGGCTAACACAGTGAAACCCTGTCTCTACTAAAAATACAAAAATTAGCTGGGCATGGTGGCATGTGCCTATAGTCCCAGCTACTTAGGAAGGGCTACTAAAAATACAAAAGTTTGGGTTGGACATGGTGGCTCATGCCTGTAATCCTAGCACTTTGAGAGGCTGAGGCGGGCAGATCTCCTATGGTCAGGAGTTCGAGGCTAGCCTGGCCAACAGGGTGAAATCCCGTCTCTACTAAAAATACAAAAAATAGCTGCGTGTGGTGGTGCATGCCTGTAATCCCAGCTACTCAGAAGGCTGAGGCAGGAGAATCACTTGAACCCAGGAAGTGGAAGTGGCAGTGAGCCAAGATTGTTCCACTGCACTACAGAATGGGCGACAGAGTAAGATTCTCTCTCTAAGGGTGGGTGCAGTGGCTCAAACCTGTAATCCCAGCACTTTGGGAGGCCAAGGCAAATGGATCACCTTGGGTAAGGAGTTCGAAACCAGCCTGACCAATATGATGAAACCCTGTCTCTACTAAAAATACAAAAATTAGCTGGATGTGTTGGTATGTCTGTAATCCCAGCTACTCGGGAGGCTGAGACAGGAGAATTGCCTGAATCCAGGAGGTGGATGTTGCAGTGAGCCAAGATCATGCCATTGTACTCTAGTCTGGGTGACAGTGAGACTCTCAAAAATTAGCCAGGCGTGGAGGCATGTGCCTGTGCTTCCGGCTATTAGGGAGGCTGAGGCAGAAGAATCACTTGAACCCAGGAGGTGGAGGTTGCAGTGAGCCGAGATTGTGCCACTGCACTCCAGCCTGGGCAACAGAGTGAAACTCTGCCTTAAAAAAAAGGAAACATCACTGTGTATCCCATAAATATGTATCATTCTTATTTACCAATTAAAAACATTTTTAAAAATATAATCCTTCTAATTTTGCAATCCTCCATGGGTTTAAAAAATATATATATATAATCCATGTGGAATCTTCTCCGTGATTACATTTTCAAGTGATTTCTTTACCTGACACCTGTTTTAGCTGCAGAGATGGCAGAGCGCTTGAGTGACCCCTTCAGACCCAAGGTACTCTGACATGCAGGGCCGTAGGACTGGCCTTGAGAGCGTTGTTGGCTGATGGGAGTAGAAGCCACAGAGAGTCTTCCTTTTGGAGGTACTGGAGTCATGACTCCTCCCTTATTGATGGGCTGCTGCTGAAGAGAAAATGCACCATTTTAAAAGCTTGGCCTCCGATTCAGTATTGTCTCCCTAGGCAAAGTTCAGAAGAGCATTTCCATTTATCCCTGTGTTTACTCCCTCATTTGTAACTCCACTTGGAATATTTTCCTTCCCTACCACTTCACCTCATCCTATTCTACCCATATGGCTGGCTTCACAATTACCTGCCATTTATTGCTTTGGGGATTCTGCTGTGAAGAGCAATTTCCAGTTGTGGCTGAGTAATGAGTTACAAGAAAGCCTTTCCCAACTGCCATGTACCCAGGCATTCATTTATTTACTTTCCTTCCCTCTTTCCCTTTTCCCTTCCCTTCCGTCTTTCCTTCTTTCTTTCTTTCTTCTTTAAGACAGAGAACTGGGCTGACTGCAACCGCCACCTCCCGGGTTCAAGCGATCCTCCTACCTCAGCCTCCTGAGTAGCTGGTATTACAGGCACCTGCTACCATGCCCAGCTAATTTTTGTATTTTTAGTAGAGACAGGGTTTTGCCACATTGGCCAGGCTGGTCTCAAACTCCTGACCTCAAGTAATCTGCCTGCCTTGGCCTCCCAAAGTGCTTGGATTACAGGTGTGAACCACTGTGCCAAGGTATCCAGGCATTTTCTAACAAGAGACATAATGTAGGAAAACAGTCCCTTGTAGCCAAAAAGGGGAAAAAAAGATATTTTTGAAAATATGGAACATTTGAGAACATTATATATAGTTTATTAAACATAAACTTAGGCTATGTGCAGTGGCTCACACTCTATAATCTCAGCACTTTGGGAGGCTGAGGCGGGAGGATCACTTAGCCCAGGAGTTCATGACCAGCCTGGGCAACATTAGGAGACTCTGTCTCTACAAAAACAAACAAAATCAAACTTAAAGAAACTATTATATATACTTAACATGTTGAATCTACAATTAATCCCACCCCCTCCTTCTATCCCCAAACAAGAGCATTTTGAAGTCCTTTAAAACAAAAAACTAAAGCAAAGAGGGAAGGAAATAAATGCTTGAAGGATTTCACTTAGGGTGTCTTTCTTAGATATCATCAAGGCACAAAGAATATCTTATTATCATTAGTCAAAGATCTGTTGCAAACAGAAGAAATGTTAACTATATTACCTGTCAACTGAGAAATGACAATTGAAATTAATATATACAAAAATAAAAATGTAGGTTAAGAACTAAATACAGGGACTAGAAATAAATATAATCTGGTGGGTCATGCCTGTTATCCCAAAAACTTTGTGAGGCAGAGGAGGGAGGACTGCTTGAGCCTAGCAGTTTGAGACCAACCTGGACAACATAGCAAGACCTGTCTCTACAAAAAACTGAAAGGTAGCTGGGTGTAGTGGTGTATGACTATAGTCCCAGGTTGTAAGGAGGCTGAAGTGGGAGGATCACCTGAGCCCAGAAGGTTGAGACTGCAGTGAGCCATCACTGCACCACTGTACTACCACCTGGGTGACAGAGTGAGACTCAAGTCTCAAAAAAAAAAAAAAAAAAAAAAAAAAAAAGAAAAAAATGGCTGGGCATGGTGGCTTACGCTTGTAATCCCAGCACTTTGGGAGGCAGGTGGATCACCTGAGGTCGAGAGTTCGAGATCAGCCTGACCAACATGGAGAAACCCTGTCTCTACTAAAAATACAAAATTAACATGGTGTAGGGGCGCATGCCTATAATCCCAGCTACTGGGGAGGCAGAGGCAGAAGAATCACTTGAACACAAGAGGTGGAGGTTGTGGTGGGCCAAGGTTGTGCTATTGTGCTCTAGCCTAGGCAACAAGAGCGAAACTCTATCTCAAAAAGAAAAAAAAAAAGAGAGAGAGAGAGCGAGAACTTTCTTTCTTTCTTTTTGAGATGCAGACTCACTCTGTTGCCCAGGATAGAGTAAAATGGTGTGATCTTGGCTCACTGCAACCTCTGCCTCCTGGGTTCAGGCAATTATCCTGGCTCAGCCCAAGTAGCTGGGATTATAGGTGCCCACCACCTTTTTTGAGACAGGGTCTCACTCTGTCACTCAGGCTGGAGTGTAGTGGCGTGATCTTGGCTTGCAGCAATCTTCTCTGCCCACCGGCTTCAAGTGTTTTTCCTGCCTCAGTCTCCTGAGTAGCTGAAGGTTAAGACCTTTCTAAGCATTATAAAAAACTCATCCTTAAAAGGAAGACTTGGATAAATTTACCTACAATTAAAAACATTCCCCAAGGCAAGATACCATTAATCTAGTTAAAAGATAAACAATGGAAAAGTATTTATAACAGGTAATATATACCATTAATATAAATAAATAAGAATGGGCAAAAATTGAGAAAAAGCAAATCTGCATAAAAATAGCCAATTATAAAATATAAAGAGTTACAACAATATAAGGTACCTTGGGATACAAGTTTTCTGATCTTTATATAAATAAATAAATTAGTTAAAATAAATAAATTAATTAAATGTAGGTATGTATGTATTTCTTTGAGATGGGGTCATGCTGTGTTGCCCAGCCTGGTCTCTGGCTCCTGAGCTCAAGCAATCCTCCCACCTCAGCCTCCCAAGTAGGTAGGATTATAGGCATGAGCTACCACACCCAGATAGGTTTCTGATTTTTTTAGAGGGCCATTTGACAACTAGATCAAACAAGTCTCCCTTTTCTTACCATGAAAGTCAAAGAGAAGCTGTCATGGCCAGAATGATTCTCTTTAGGATATCTGCTTATTGTTGTCCATCACCATCCAAATGATCAAGCCCCAAATGTGCCAAGAGCAACTTCATCTCAGGTATGGTAAAGTTAATGTAATTGATTTTTTTATTCTCTAGTCTCCAAAGAGAGCATACCAAGTTACACATCTGATAGGGGAATTTCTTAAACATTTAGGTTGGATAGTGTTATTTTAGAACTAAGCTCATTCAGATAGGTCTACCAGGCAGGAGTTATACTAAAAAGTAGAATTATTCGTTTATTCAACACATCTTCTAGGGCAACACTCAAAGTTTATGGTTCAAACAGTTGTTCTTGTTCTGTCCTTCACTTTTATTTAGAAAATTGAGTCATCCATATTACACAGTACAGAAAGCAGGAGCTTGACTTTTTTGTTGTTGTTTTTGGAACAGGGTCTCACTCTATCGCCAAGGCTGGAGTGCAATCGCACCATCCCGGCTCACTGCACCCTCTGCCTCCCAGATTCAAGCAATTCCTCTGCCTCAGCCTCTCCAGTAGCTAGGATTACAGGCATGTGCCACCATGCCTGGCTAGTTTTTTATTTTTAGTAGAGACAGGGGTCTCACCATGTTGGCCAGGCTGGTCTCGAGCTCCTGGCCTCAACTGATCTGCCTGATACAACCTCCCAAACTGCTGGGATTACGGGCGTGAGCCACTGCACCTAGCCTTTTTTTATCTTCTTTTTTGAGAGGGAGTTTTGCTCTTGTTACCCAGGCTGGAGTGCAATGGTGCGATCTCAGCTCACCGCAACCTCCGCCTCCTTGGTTCAAGCAAATCTCCTGCCTCAGCCTCCTGAGTAGCTGGGACTACAGGCGCGTGCCACCATGCCTGGCTAATTTTTATATTTTTAGTAGAGATGGGGTTTCACCATGTTGGCCAGGCTGGCCTCAAACTCCTGACCTTAGGTGATCCACCTCCCTTCACCTCCCAAAGTGCTGGGATTAAAGGTGTGAGCCACCACACCCTGCCTATTGTTTTGTTTTCTTTGAGATGGAGTCTTGCTTTGTCCCCAGGATGGAGTGCAGTGGCATGATCTCCCTGCACTACAAACTCCATCTCCTTGGTTTAAGCGATTCTCCTGTCTCAGCCTCTCAAGTAGCTAGGACTGCTTGTGGTGCCCAACACCACACCTAGCTAATTTTTGTATTTTTAGTAGAGACAGGGTTTCACCATATTGGTCAATCTCTTAAACCCAAATGGTGGAGGTTGCAGTGAGCCAAGATTGTACCACTGTACTCCAGCCTGGGTGACAGAGTGAGACTCCATCTCAAACAAAAAAAAGAGTTTGATAAGCAATGCTTTCAAATGTGGTAACAGTGAGGATGGGAGTGGTGACTCACGCCTGTAATCCCAGCACTTTGGGAGGTCGAGGTGGGTGGATCACCTGCGGTCAGGAGTTCGAGACCAGCCTAGCCAACATGGTGAAACCCTATCTATACTAAAAATATAAAAATTAGCCGGGCATGATGCTAGTTGCCTATAATCCCAGCTACTTGGGAAGGTGATGTGGGCGTGATGGTAGTTGCCTGTAATCCCAGCTACTCAGGAGGCTGAGGTGGCAGAATCGTTTGAATCTGGGAGGCGGAGTTTGCAGTAAGCAGAGATTGCGCCACTGTACTGCAGCCTGGGCAACAGAATGAGACTGTCTGAAATAAATAAATAAATAAAATTACAAATACAAACATTAGCCAAGTGTGGTGGTGGGCACCTGTAATACTAATGACTTGGGAGGCTGAGGCAAAAGAATCTCTTGAACCCAGGAGGTGGAGGTTTCAGTAAGCTAAGATCACACCACTGCACTTCAGCCTGGGTGAAAGAGTGAGACTCCATCTCAAAAAAAATAAAATAAAAAAATAAAAAACCTGATAAACAGTACCTTCAAATATGGTAATGGTAGGGATGGGAGTGGTGGCTCATGCCTGTAATTCCAGCACTTTGGGAGGCCAAGGTGTGGTGGGCACAATCTCAACTCAGCTACTCAGGAGGCTGAGGCAGGAGAATCACTTGAACCTGGGAAGCGGAGGTTGCAGTCAGCTGAAACCGCACCACTGCCCTCTAATTTGTGTGACAAGAGCGAAACTCTATCTCAAAAAAAAAAAAAAAAAAAGAATTGTGGCAATGTAAAACAAGTTATACGTTGTTACAATGAATGTTTATTATTTTAATTAAGCTTTTTGCCGGGCGCGGTGGCTCAAGCCTGTAATCCCAGCACTTTGGGAGGCTGAGGCGGGTGGATCACGAGGTCAAGAGATCGAGACCATCCTGGTCAACATGGTGAAACCCCGTCTCTACTAAAAATACAAAAAATTAGCTGGGCATGGTGGCGCGTGCCTGTAATCCCAGCTACTCAGGAGGCTGAGGCAGGAGAATTGCCTGAACCCAGGAGGCGGAGGTTGCGGTGAGCCGAGATCGCGCCATTGCACTCCAGCCTGGGTAACAAGAGAGAAACTCCGCCCCCCCCCCCCCCAAAAAAAAAAAAAAAAAAAAGCTTCTCACCTGGAAGCTTAGGTACTTAAATTATTTACAACTTATCACCCAGTGAGTTTTCCTCTTATCCCTAGTTGCCAGAAAACTTAAACTTACCTGAATGACTGATGGTAATAAATACTGCATCTACTAACAGTGCTTATTTTCTGTACCTTTTAAATTGATCATACTATTTTACATTTAATATCATAAACTTAAATTATTTTGAGAACAGGCTTTAAATTCTTTTTGAGAAATTGGGAAGCTATGTAAAATAAACACGTGGGTTAATAATTAAATACAGGGAAGAGAAATAAATATAATCTGGTATCTCACATCTGTAATCCCAGCACTTTGGGAGGCCAAGGTGGGAGGATCACTTGAGCCTAGGCGTTCAAGGACAGCCTAGGCATCATAGGGAGACCTGTCTTTGAGAAAAATACGTAAATCAGTAAATTTGTAAAAATGTGTTTCTTGTCCCCATTAGGCACTCCCTTAACACCAGATACCAATAACACCAACTTGCTAGAATGTCACTACTCTGCTAACTCGGCCTCAGAGTTGATTTTATCACCTTCTCCTACTCAAGAGGGCCTTGAGTCCTGTAAGACCTGGACTGAAAGCCCTCAAGGGAGCTGTTACCACAGGAATCCTTTAGGTTTATCACTATTAATCACCCATTTTCCTTTCCATAAGGGACAAGAGAAAGAAGATGGCTTCAGTCATAAATTGGTTCACCCTCAATGAAAGTAATAGGCAGAACATCTGAATATGGAAAGTAGAATGACATTGCAATTTGGGAAATAGTTCCTCAGTCAGGATTCACTGTTTTTTGTTTTGTTTTGTTTTTTGACACAGAGTGTCACTCGGTCACCCAGGCTGGAGTGCAATGGTGACATCTTGGCTCACTGCAACCTCCACCTCCCCAGTTCAAGCAATTCTTCTGCCTCAGCCTCCCAAGTAGCTGGGATTACAGCTGTCCACCACTACCCTCAGCTGATTTTTTTGTATTTTTAGTAGAGACAGGGTTTTACCATGTTGGCCAGGCTGGTCTTGAACTCCTGACTTCAGGTGATCAACCCACCTTGACCTCCCCAAGTGCTGGGATTATAGGCATGAGCTACTGCATCCAGCCATGGATTCACTGTTTTATCTGGAGGATTTTGAAAATTATCAGGGTAGGGGAAAGCAAGTTTTAGATAAAGATGTATTAAACTCAAACAAATCTACTGGTAGAGTCATAGCCAGTTGTAACCATGGTGTTATAATTTCAGAATTAAAATCAGTTTAGTTCCATTAAGAACATAATTTTATCTACATACCTTCAGTTCACTGATGAAATTGTATTCTTCAAAATGTTTCTTTTTCCTCTTAATATATTGCTCAATGGACTCCATTTCCTTAAAATGAGCTTCATGAAGCTTCTTAAAGTCTAGAATGTTCCCCCAATAAAAAAATTAATAGCTAAGCAAAATCCATTTATATATCTTTTCTGTTTTTCTGTTAACACTTATTTTCTTCTTTGCAGCCCTGACATTCAACTTCAATATAATATGTGCTAAAACATTAATTTCAAAATACTTTGTTTTTGGAAACTCGGGAAAAGCACATTCATCTTATAAATTATCAAACATTCACATCTCTGCATTGTCTAATTTCACTAAATTGACATCTTGGTTTAGTTCAGAGGATAAGAGTAGAAGATTTATCTTCTCTGGGCTGAGATTGAGGTAAAAAGAAAGAAAAAAGATTTATCTTCTACCAATTAGCTGAGTGTTATTTAATCATGAATTTGGTATTTTATAATGCTCTATGTCAAGGACTGACAAACTTTTTCTATAAAGCGCAAGATAAATTATTTTAGGGCCGAGCATGGTGGCTTATAATCCCAGCACTCTGGGAGGCTGAGGCGGGTGGATCACGAGGTCAGGAGTTCCAGACCAGCCTGGCCAATACAGTGAAGCCATCTCTACTAAAAATACAAAAATTAGTGGGCTGTGGTGGTGGGCACCTGTAATCCCAGCTACTTGGAAGGCTGAGGAAGAAAATCTGCTTGAACCCAGGAGGTGCAAGTTGCAAGTGAATCAAAATTGTACCACTATACTGCAGCCTGCATGACAGAGTGAGACTGTCTCAAAAAAAGAAAAAAAGTATTTTATGGTGGTATGGTGTCCGTTTCATATTCTTCTTGTTTTTAAATTCTTTTTTTTTCCTTCTTCTTCTTCTTTTTTTTTTTTAGTGCTACGATCTCAGCTCACTGAAACTCCCATTTCCTGGGTTAAAGAGCTTCTCCTGCCTCCTGAGTAGCTGAGATTACAGGTGCTGCCACAATGCTCAGCTAACTTTCAGATTTTTAGTAGAGATGGGGTTTCACCATGCTGGCCAGGCTAGTCTCGAACTCCTGACCTCAAGTGATCCACCCACCTTGGCCTCCCAAAGTGCTGGGATTACAGACGTGAGCTACCACTCCCGGCCTTTAAATTCCTTAAAAAATGTAAGAGCCATTCTTAGCTCAAAGGATTTAAGACAGGCCAAAACAGGCAGCAGATTGCTGAATGCTGCTGTATCCTATTCTGATTAAGTATATGAACATTTACTGAATTTTTAATATATGATGAGCAGCATTCTAACTACTATAAATATACAGTACTCAATCAACATTCTATGTGCCAAGCAATGTTTCAACAATACAAGATAGAGAAGAATTACATGTCCAAAAACAGAGTCCCTTAGACTTATGAAAAACTTACTAGAAGGTCAGGATTGTACCAAGTACTTTGTACATTCATTCATCAGATATTTATTGAATCCCTGCTGCATGCTATTTGCTGTGATAGGGAAGCAGCAGTGGAAAATGTATTCTCAATTTATGTATCTATCAATCTGATGAAACAGGTACTATAGTATAACTACAGTATTTCCACTTTACACTGAGTAAGTGGGTTTATTGAGGATAAGTAAGTTCCCTAATATCTTCAAGCTAAAAAACGAGAGAACTAGAATATAAACTGCTTCCAGCATCTATGCTTTTAGCTATTTCAGTCCAACATCAGTCTGAAGTGGCTCAACCATTACTTATTATGTCTTTGTCTACAAAACTTACTTGGAGTAGTCATTGCAGTTCTTTTATTTTTTCCAGGTTTGGATAACCCATCTGTGTAGAGAGATTTCTTTCTTTCTGAAGGTATCTTTGAATCTTTGTTACCTAAATCCAAAGATACAGAAATAATGAAGAAACCTTGTCTCTTCTGAAAATACAAAAATTACCTAGGCATGGCGGTGCACACCTGTAATCCCAGCTACTTGGGAAGCTGAGGCAGTAGACTTACTTGAGCCTGGGAGGCGAAGGTTGCAGTGAGCCGACAGCTGACATAGCGTCACTACACACCTGCCTGGGTGACAGGTTGAGACTCAGTCTCAAAACAAAAAACAAAGGATATTTATGTGGAGTAACTCTGCACAGGGTACTTACTTATTCATTACAAGTGGTAGAACAGTAACTTCACAAAGTTACTAGCAGACACCACCATAAACCGGTGGAAGTTAACACTACTAGTCATAGGAAAAACCAGCACTTGTGCCTCCTAGGGTGCTTACAGAGGAAGCAACAGCATTGCTCTGTGGGATTCCTGCCAATAGCCCATAGTCTGAATCTAAACATGAGGACATATTAGACAAACCAAGTTAGAGGAGAAAAAACTAGCCTGTATTCAAAAATGTTGGCGTGGTGGCTCATACAGGTAAACTCAGCATTTTGGGAGGCTGAAGTAGGGAGCTCAGGAGTTCAAGACCAGCCTGGGCAGCATGGTGAAACCCCGGCTCTACTAAACATACAAAAATTAGCCAGGCATGGTGGTGCATGCCTTTAGTTCCAGCTACTTGGGAGGCTGAGGCTGAGGCTGAGGCTGCAGTAAGCTGAGATTGTGCCACTGAACTCCAGCCTGGGCAACAGACCAAGATTCTGTCTCAAATAATAATAATTGGGTCTTTCTTTTCAGAAGCCCCTCTCTCTCACTAGAGAGAGCTATTCTCCTTTCTTTCTTTTGCCTACTAAACCTCTGGCATGATCTCGGCTCACTGTAACCTACATCTCCCGGGTTCAAGCAATTCTCCCGCCTTAGACTCCTGAGTAGCTGGGATTACAGTTGTGTGCTTCAGTGCCCAGCTAATTTTTGTATTTTTAGTAGAAACAGTGTTTCACAGCTGGGCGCTGCGGCTCATGTCTATAATCCCAGCACTTTGGGAGGCTGAGGTGGGCGGATCACCTGAGGTCAGGAGTTCAAGACCAGCCTGGCCAACATGGTGAAACCTCGTCTCTAGTAAAAATAAAAAATTAGCTGAGTGTGCTGGCATGTGCCTGTAGTCCCAGCTACTCAGGAGGCTGGGGCAGAAGAATCGTTTGAACCTGAGAGGTGGAGGTTGCAGTGAGCTGAGATTGTACCGCTGCACTCGAGCCTGGGCGATGGGTGGTACAGTGAGACTCCATCTCAAAAATAAATAAATAAATAAATAAAACAACAGGGTTTTGCCACATTGGCCAGGCTGGTCTTGAACTCTTGGCCTTAAGTGATCCATCCCCCTTGGCTTCCCAAAGTGCTAGGATTACAGGTGTGTGCCACCGAGCCCAGCCCAACACAGAAATTCTGCGGTGGCTCATACCTGTAATCCCAGCACTTTGGGAGGGTGAGGCAGGTAGACTACCTGAGGTCAGGAGCTCGAGACCAGCCTGGTCAACATGGTGAAACCCCCACCTCTACTAAAAATACAAAAATTAGCCAGGCATAATGGCATGCGCCTATAATCCCAGTTACTCAGAAGGCTGAGGTGGGAGAATCCCTTGAACTAGGGAGGCGGAGATTGCAGTGAGCTGAGATTACTGCATTGCACTCCAGCTTGGGCAACAACACAGCAAGTCTCCATCTCAAAAAAAAAAAAAAAAAAAAAAAAGGAAAGAAATTGTGTAACATTGTGCTATGGGTTGAATTGTGGGTCCCTAAAAGACATATTGAAGTCCCAACAACTGATCCCTATCATATGACCTTATTTAGATATAGGCATTTTTTTTCAGATGCAATAAAGTTAAGATGAAGTCATTTGGACCTTCTTTTAATTTTTTGAGACACGGTCTTGCTGTGTCCAGGCAGGGATAAAGTAGTATGAACATGGCTAATGGCATCCTTAACCTCCTGGGTTCAAGTGACTTTCTCACCTCAGCCTCCTGAGAAGCTGGGACCACAGGTGTGCACCATCATGGCTGGCTAATTCTTCTTTTTGTAGAGACAGGTTCTTACCATGTTGCCCAGGCTGGTCCAGAACTCCTAGGCACAACCAATCCTTCTACCTTGACTTCCTAAAGTAATGGGAGTACAGGCATGAGCCACTATGCCTGACCTATTTGGGTGGATCCTAATACAATATAACTGGTGTCCTATTAAGAAGACATAGAGAATGTCATGCACTGTCAGAGCCAGAGACTCGCATGATACAGCTGCAACCTATTCTCCCACCTCAGTAAGTCTCCCACCTCAGCCTCCTGAGTAGCTGGGATTAAAGGTTCATGCCTCAGTGCCTTTTTGTATTTTTAGTAGAAACAGGGTTTCATGGCTGGGTGTGGACACCAGGCATCAACAGCCATTGCAAAGTAGTCAGAGGCAAGGAAGGATTCCACCCAGAGTCCCTTGCTGACACATTGATCTTGGACTTCCAGCCTCTATAGAACCATGAAAGAGTAAATTTCTGTTGTTCTAAACCGCCCAGTTTGTGGTACTTTGTCACGACAATCCTAAGAAATTAATGTACATGGCTACTTCTAGCAATTCTGGGTATTTTTTTGACATGGAGTCTCACTGCCACCCAGGCTAAAGTGCAGTGGCGCAATCTCAGCTCACTGCAACTTCCACCTCCCGGGTTCAAGCAATTCTCCTGCCTCAGCCTCCCGAGTAGCTGGGACTACATGCTACCACACCTTGCTACTTTTTATTTTTAGTAGACATGAGGTTTCACCATGTTGGCCAGGCTGGTCTTGAACTCCTGACTTCATGTGATCTGCCTGCCTCAGCCTCTCAAAGTGCTGGAATTACAGGTATGAGCCACTGTGCCTGGCAGCAATTCTGGTTTTTAGAAAGTTACCTGACATACCATTTATTCCACGTTTTCCTGAAGAAACAGCATTCTTAGCTCCTTGGTGCTCATCTGCAGAATAAACTCTTGCAATAGCACTGAAATCCTGGCTTTCCTGCTTTTCATGATTCTGGAATTCAGTCGGATCACTTATTTTTATCTCTGAATGATCCTGCTACAAATTTAAAAAAGGAAATAAAAGATTTCGATGATAAATAAGAATTGCTGCCTTCTAAAGATAGGTACCAAAATGAGGAAAAAAAGGGGTCAAAGGAAGAAAGTAGGAGAATGAGATTTTTGGTGGCAGATTTGGTTCTCTGCATTATTAAGTGTCATGAGAATATACATTTGAGAATAAGAGATACTAGGGCACATTAACAGGTAAAATAGAAATGGCAAGATTAGCTCTCTTAGCAAAGACAAATGAAGAAACCTAGATAGTCTACTGATCAAATAACTATATGAAGATAGAAAAGAAAATTAATACAGTGTTTTGGGGCCGGGCATGGTGGCTCACGCCCGTAATCCCAGAACTTTGGGAGCTTGAGATGCGTGGATCACCTGAGGTCAGGAGTTTGAGACCAGCCTGGGCAACATGGTGAAATCCCATCTCTGCTGAAAATACAAAAATTAGCTGGGCATAGTCGTGGGCACCTGTAATCCCAGCTACTCGGGAGGCGGGGGCAAGGCAGGAGAATCGCTTGAACCTGGGAGGCAGAGGTTACAGTGAGCCGAGATCATGCCTTTGCACTCCATACTGGACAATGAGAGTGAAACTCCATCTCAGAGAACAAACAAAAAAGGCTGGGCATGGTGGCTCACGCCTGTAACCTGTAATCCCAACACTTTGGGAGGCCGAATTACTTGAGCTCGAGACCAGCCTGGCCAACATGGTGAAACCCCATGTCCACTAAAAATGCAAAAATTAGCTGAGCATGGTGGCGGGCGTCCTGTAATCCCAGCTACTCAGGAGGCTAAGGTAGAAGAATTGCTTGAACCTAGGAAACTGAGGTTGCAGTGAGCCGAGATCGAGCCACTGCACTCCAGCCTGGTGCCTGGTGCCAGAGCAAGACTGTCTCAAACAAAAAAAAAAACAAAAAAGCACATTTAATGCTTGTTTCTCTTTTCTTCCTATCTACTACACTTCACTTAAGTAAACCCTTAATGAATGTTCATAGTTATACAACCAATACTTAATGTGAACTTAATACTTAAAAAGTGCTTCCTGAGGGAGAAGCCCTGAGATGCAGTAATGAGCAGCTGGACTTGGGTCTGTTTTTTTTTTTTTTCATTTTTGTTTTGATTTTCTTTGGGTCTGGGTTTTCATGGAGCTTACAGTACACAGTAAGCTTACAAACACGTGACATCATATGGAAATTTAAAAAAAAAAGCTTCTTAAGAATATGCCAATTTTGGCATAGGTGGTGGTATATTTTCAGTTTGTAAATATCCATTCACCTGGGAGTCAGGGTCCACACGGACAGTCTTGTGCCTTCTCCTTGTTTTGGTGACATGGCCGGTTGGCTCTCTCTCGGCTTGTTCCTGGCTGCTGATCTGTATCTCAGTCTCATGATAAGAGGATGCAGAAATTTGACTTTCATCCTGAAAAGAGAGGTATTAATCTGCTATGTGCTATGTATATAGTTATAATGCTCAGAAAGAATAAGCATTTAGACTGAATAAAAAACATATTACAGATGCAAAAGAAAAATTTTAAAACTCTCTAACACTAAATTGTTGGCAAAGACAAGAATTATAGAGTATTCAGGCCAGGCATGGTGGCTTATACCTGTAATCCCAGCACTTTGGGAGACCATGTCAAGTGGATCACCTGAGGTCAGGAGTTTTTTGATGGCTGGAAAACTTGATCCATTCTCATTCTTTCACACCAAAATGAAATCTGGAGGGATCAGTTTATTTTATTATATTTTTTGGAGACAGGGTCTTATTCTGTCACACAGGCTGGAGTGCAGTGTCACAATCAGGGCTCATTGGAGTGTGGACCTTCTGGGCTCAGGCAATCCTCCCTCTTCAGCTGCCTGAGTAGCTGGAACTATAGGTGTGCACCATACCTGGCTAATATTTTGTATTTTTTTGTAGACGATGGGATTTTGCCATGTTGCCTGGGGTCATCCAGAACTCCTCGGCTCAAGGGATGTGCCTGCCTCAGCCTCCTGAAGTGCTGGAATCACAGGCATAAACCACCATGCCTGGCCTTTAAATTAAAGATTTAAATGCAAAAGTTGAACTATAAAAGCACTAGAAAAGAAATGGATGAATATATTATCATGAATGTGAGGACGTCCTTCTTTTTTATATTTATTTATTCTTGCTCTGTCGCCCAAACTGGAGTGCTGTGGCCCAACCTCAGCTCACTGCAACCTCTATCTCCTGGGTTCAAGAGATTCTCCTGCCTCAGTGTCCCAAGTAGCTGGGATTACAGACATGTGCCACCACGCCTGGCTAATTTTTTGTATTTTATTTTTGAATACTTTTTTGAAACAAACAGGGTTTCACTGTGTTAGCCAGGCTGGTCTTGATTTCCTGACATCATGTTCCCCACATTAGCCTCCTGAAGTGCTGGGATTACTGGTGTGAGCCACACTGCCCAGCTAAGGAAGTCCTTTTTAAGCATGTTATCTTACCTGGAAACTATAAAGGAAAAGCTTGATTTGGTTTTGGCATTTAGGCATTTTGTTATAAGTAAATGCTAATTAAAAAAGATAAACCGATACATACATATGGTTGAAAAAAATCAAATACCATAGAAAATATTGTAATGAAAGCAATTGGGGCTGGGTGTGGTGCCTCATCTATAATCCCAGAACCTTGGGAGGTAGATGGGAAGGATTACTTGTGGTCAGGAGTTGAAGACTAGCCTGGCAAATATGGTGAAGCCCTGTCTCTGCTAAAAATACAAAAAATTAGCTGGGCATGGTGGCACGTGTCTGTAATCCCAACTATTCGGGAGGCAGAGGTTGTAGTGAGTCCAGATCGCACCACTGCACTCGAGCCTGGGCGACAAAGTGAGACTGTGTCTCAAAACAAAAAAAGAAAAAAGAAAAGCAATTGGTTCTCTGCCCAACCTTGTTATTCATGAGGCTTAAGTTCAGGTTGTTATTTATATATCTCTAGTGATTTGCTGACACGATGGGGTATTCATTCATATTTTCCGATTTTTAGTGCCTATCACATGCTAAAGTTTAGCTTATTTGTTTTTTTTTTTTTTTTTGAGACAGAGTTTCGCTCTTGTTACCCAGGCTGGAGTGCAATGGCACGATCTCGGCTCACCGCAACCTCCGCCTCCCGGGTTCAGGCAATTCTCCTGCCTCAGCCTCCTGAGTAGCTGGGATTACAGGCACACACCACCATGCCCAGCTAATTTTTTGTAGTTTTAGTAGAGACGGGGTTTCACCATGTTGACCAGGATGGTCTCGATCTCTTGACCTCGTGATCCACCCGCCTCGGCCTCCCACAGTGCTGGGATTACAGGCTTGAGCCACCGCGCCCGGCCTAAATTTAGCTTATTTGTACTCTTATCTTCCTAAGAGAATTACACCACTTTTGCCACTCTATTACTTTTACTGTTTTTTTCTTTTGAGACAGAGTTTTGCTCTTGCCACCCAGGCTGGAGTGCAATAGGGTTATCTTGGCTCACTGCAACTTCCACCTCCTGGGTTCAAGCAATTCTCCCACCTCAGCCTCCTGAGTAGCTGGGACTACAGGTGCATGCCACTACACCTGGCTAATTTTTGTATTTTTTTTTGTTTTTGTGTTTTGGATGGAGTCTGGCTCTGTCACTCAGGCTGGAGTTCAGTGGTGCGATGTCAGCTCTCTGCAACCTCTGCTTCCCGGGTTTCAAGCAGTTCTCCCACCGCAGCCTCCCAAGTAGCTGGGATTACAGGCTTATACCACTATGCTTGGAAGATTTTTTTAGTTTTTTGCAGAGACAGAGTTTTGTCATGTTGGCCAGGCTGGTCTCAAAATCCTGACCTCACGTGATCTGCTTGCCTTGGCATCTCAAAGCGCTGGGATTACAGGCGTGAATTATCATTTATGAAACATTTATAGTCTGTTTCATAATCTTATTTTTTCTGTCTCTTTCTGTTTTGTTTCATCATGTTGGTCAGGCTGGTCTTGAACTCCCGACCTCAGGTGATCCGCCTGCCTTGGCCTCCAAAGTGCTTGGATTACAGGCATGAGACACCACGATTGGTTTTTGTTTTTTTTGAGACAGGGTCTCACTCCCATTGCCCAGGATGGAGTACAGTGGCATGATCTTGGCTCACTGCAGCCATGACTTCCCAGGCTCAAGTGATCCTCCCACCTTAGCCTCCCCAGTAGCTGAGCTAGGACTACATGGGCACTCCACCACGTCCAGCTAATTTTTATATTTCTTGTGGAGACAGAGTTTTGCTATGTTGTCCAGGCTGGTCTCAAACTCCTGGGCTTAAGCAATCTGCCTGTCTCAGCCTCCCAAAGTGTTGGGATTTCAGGTGTTAGCCACCATGTCTGGCTTTGTTATATAACCTTAATTGTATCATCTATGCTTAGTCTACCTAGATTTATTTTAAGAGTTGATAAATCAGTAAGTCATTGTAATACTTTTTAAAAAACAAGCTGGGCCAGGTGTGGTGGCTCACACCTGTAATCCCAGCACTTTGGGAGGCCAAGACAGGCGGATCACGAAGTCAGGAGATTGAGACCATCCTGGCTAACATGGTGAAACCTCGTCTCTACTAAAAATACAAAAAATTAGCTGGGCATGGTGGCATGTGTCTGTAGTCCCAGCTACTCGGGAGACTGAGGCAGGAGAATTACTTGTACCCGGGGGTTGCAGTGAGCTGAGATCATGCCACTGCACTCAAGCCTGGGCAACAAGAGCAAACTCTGCTCAAAAAAAAAAAAAAAAAAACCCACAATAAAAGTAACTAATAGAGTGACTAAAGTTATATAATTCTCTTACAAAGATGATGGCAAGATGAGACTCCATCTTGAGAAAAGGAAAAAAAAAGCTGTTGGCCAGGTGCAGTGGCTCGTACCTGTAATCCCAGCACTTTCAGAGGCCAAGGTGTTGGCCAGGAACTCGAAACCAGCCTGGCCAACATGGAGAAACTCTGTCTCTACTAAAAATACAAAAAAAATTAGCTGGCCATCGTGGTGTGTGCCTGTAATCCCAGCTACTCGGGAGACTGAGGCAAGAGAATCGCTTGACCCGGGAGGCGGAGGTTGCGGTGAGCTGAGATCACGCCCTTGCACTCCAGCCTGGGCAACAAGAGTGAAACTCCATCTAAAAAAAAAAAAAAAAAGAAATTGGTACAAAGGTAAAATGTTCTAGAGGAGCAATAATTGCATTTTTGCTAGGGAAAGTAAGTCCAGGAGGATGACACATGAGAATCACTTAAACCTGGAAGGCAGAGGTTGCAGTCAGCTGAGATGATGCCACTGCACTCCAGCCTAGATAACAGAGCAAGACTCTGTCTCAAAAAAATAAAATAAAATAGCAAGCTGTCAGTTATTTTTTATATTATCTTCATTTCCCTTAGGGTCATCTTTTTATTTTCTTCTTTTTTTGAGACAATATCTTGCTCTGTTGCCCAGCTGGATTACAGTGGCTTGCTCATAGTTCACTGCAGCCTCTATTTCCTGAGCTCAACTGACCCTCCCGCCTTACCCTCCCAATCAGCTGGGCCCACAGGTATGTGTCACCACACCAAGCTAATTGTTTGAATTTTGCAGAAATAGGGTCTCCTTATGTTACCCAAGCTGGTTGTAAACTCCTAGGCTGAAGTCATCCTCCTCTTTGGCCTCCCAAAATGCTGGGATTATAGGCATAAGCCTCTATGCCCAGTCCATTTTCGTTTTAGCTTTCCTCAAATGTCTCATGACTGTTGGCTGTCTATTTGTAAAATTTCTTTTTTTTTTTTTTTTTTTTTTTTTTTGAGACAGGGTCTCCCTCTGTCACCCAGGCTGAAGTGCAACGGCATGAGCCACCACACCCGGCCAACAGCATGTCTTAAATCATCACTAGTTGTGTGTTAATTGCCCATTAACTAAATATGATTGTTTTGCTAGCTAACAGGTAAACATAAAAAAAATTACTCACCCGATTCTCATTTCCTTTTCTTGCCTCACAATTAATGTGGCCTTTCACAGCTTTTAACAACTGGTCTGCCTGCAAGAGAGATCTTATAATCAGAGCCAAAAATCAAACAAGAAAGACAAGGAATGTACTCTGGTCAGACCACAGGACAAGAACCATTACTTAGATAGAAGAGGGTCTCTGCTCTAAGGAATTTCACATCTGAGTGGAAAAGTTAGACAAGGAAAGAGGCAATTGCAATACAGTGGGGTAAATGCCCATGCTATGAGGCTCAGGCTGTCTTGGGAACATAGGTAGGTGTGGCCATTAAAGTTGGGACTGCTAGGGTAGACTTCAGCAAGTATCTGCACAGGGCAGTTCTCAGATAAAGATGTGATGTCTCTAATTGCTGAGATCTAAAGGATGAACAGGAGAGCTGAACGTAGAGAAACAGGTAGAGGAACAGCACAGCAAGGCAACAATGAGGGTGGAGTTTGCAGAACTGAAGTTCAGTGTGGCTGGAGCATGCAGCTGTTGCAGGAGATAGCAGGAGACAATGCTGGGAAAGTGAGCAGGGGCCTCATGTTGCCAAGCCTTGTAAGCCTTTAAAGAGTATGAACTTTACTCTCAGAGAAAAAGGGCAGTCTCTGAAGAGTTCGCAGCAAGGCAGTGGGTGACCAGTTTTGCATTGCTCAGAATGATTACTCTACCTGCACAGTGTGCGAGATGATTTTGATGGGGATGAGACTGAAGACAAAGAAACAGCTAGGAGGCTAATGTAGGAAACCAGAATTGGTGTGGCCTGAATTAGAGCAGGGTTAAGGCAGTCTGGATGGAGTCAAAACCTTCTTAGGAAGTGAAATCAGTGTGAACATGAGAGTTGAAGAAGAGGGAAACTTTGTTATGCCAAGGTTTCTGGCTTGGACAGCTGGCGAAGTGTGGTGCGGTCCCTAAGATGAGGAATGCAAAAGGTGATAGGGTCTCAGGGGGATGGTTATAGGTCCCTGTGAAGGAATGGGAACACTGAGCTTCTCTTCCCAACCTAGGAAAGCTTCCCTTGTTGTTCTTTCCTGAAAGAAGAATATTAATTTGGTTGGTTACATTTTTCTGTGCTTTAAAAGTCAAGTTTATTGGTTGGGTTCTCTTTTCTTCCTCTTCCACCTAGCCATGCAGTTGAGGGCCGGAGCCATCCTTCTCAACGTGTGCCCAGCCACCAGGTTTGGCTCTCTTCTTCTTACACCTTTATGATGGCCCATGTGTCTAGTAGAGAGAACGGCAAAGATCCTGAAATTTGGTTTGTGCTGAAGCTTTTGCTTGTGGTACAAGTCTAAGCCAAATCTTCCAATCCACTATACCAGAATGCTCTGCATCGACATATCAGGCACCATTTCAGCTAGTAATATAAAGTGGTATCTTATTTTCTACTTGTTCCTTGAATCACCCTTGGGGTTTTCTCTGGGAAGGGGGTGATTGGCAGGTCAGAATTCAGGCGTTCTTGATTCTTGTAACACCTTCTTAATATACCTTCAAAATCTCACCAAACATACAAAAATTAATGAAGTGAGGCACCTGTGGCAGAGCCGAGTGAGGAGGCTGAATGATATGAGGTGGTGTTCAAGAGTTGTGCTAGAGGTGCAGATGTTAGTTATCAGCATACATTCATGCATTCCTCCAACAAGCTTTTATTGTGCTGGGCACTATTCCAGACACTAGAGAGTAGTGAATTAAACAGACAAGGTAACTGTCTTCCAGGATCTTCTAGCAGTGGTGAAACAGTCTGTTACCCAAGAAAGCTAGAAATGAATGATATGACATGAGGTATTATGAAGCAAAAATAAAACTGGGCAACTGGGGTGGGGTGGGGATGCTACCTGAATTAGGATGGTTCGGAAAGGCCACTCTGAGGTGGTGGCCTGAACTGAGATGTGAATGAGGCAAAAGCACTCCAAGCAGGGTGAGCACCACATACAGGAGCCCTGAGATGGACCCATGAGTTGAAGGACAGAAACTGCCCTTACGGTAGGAGCATGGTGAACACTGAGGTGGGAGGAAGGCAGGGAGATCAGAGGTGACCACAGGGTGGGTCAAGTAGAGAGGCAAAGACCACAGCCAAAATTAAGAATTTTTGTAGGGCGTAGTGACTCAGGCCTGTAATCCCAGCACTTTAGGAGGCTGAGTCAGGCGGAGCACCCAAGGTCAGGAGCTCAAGACCAGCCCGGCCAATATGGGGAAACCCTGTCTCTACTAAAAACACAAAAATAGCTGGGCGTGGTGGTGGGTGCCTGTAATCCCAGCTACTCAGGAGGCTAAGGCAGAATTGCTTGAACATGGGAGGTAGAGGTTGCAGTAAGCCAAGATCACACCACTGCACTCCAGCATGGATGACAAGAGAAAACTCAAAAAAAAAAAAAAAAAAAAAAAAAAGAATTTCTTCTTCCCCTAACATGTTATTAGAAAAAAATGTCAGGCCTATAGAAAAGTCACAGTAGTATAATAGACACTCATATTTCCCACCAAGATTCAACAATCATTTACATTATCTCATATTTGGTTTCTCTATATTAATATATATTTCTTGTGAAAGAATTTGAAAACATGTCCCAGGCTTTACTATTAAATATATGAGCCACATCTCCTAAAAATAAGGAAAAATTTTCCCACATAAGCTTTAATACATTTGAATACTGAGGAAAAGCAGTAATTTCCTAATATTACCTACTATGTAGCCCATAAAGAAATTTCTCTCCAATTTTATGTCTCCAATTTTAGCTATTTTCTTTTAAAAATGATTTCCTTTCAAATCAAGATCAAATTGTTGCACTCATTACACTGCAAAGAGTTTAGATTTTATTTTAGATGTGAGAGAAGTCACTGGAGGGCACTAAGCAGAAAAAGACATGTTCTAAGTTTCTTTCTTCTTTTTTTTTTTTTTTTTTTTTTTTTTTTAGAAAAGATTTGTTTTTTTTTGCCCAGGCTGGAGTGCAGTGGCGTCATCTTGGCTCACTGTAGCTCCTCCTCTCAGGTTCAAGGGATTCTCGTGTCTCATCCTCCCGAGTAGCTGGGATTACAGGCGCGCGCCACCATGCCTGGCTAATTCATACATACATACTTTTTTTAGTAGAGACAGGGTTTTGCCATCTTGGCCAGGCTGATCTCAAACTCCTGGCCTCAAGCAATCCAACCACCTCGGCCTCCCAAAGTGCTGGGATTACAGGCATGAGCCACCTTGCCTGCTCTTTCTCTTATTTTTTTTTAATTTTTTCCCTAAGTTTCAAATATCACTCTGACTACCAAGAGAACACTATTGTGAGGTTAAAAGTAGAGGCAGGAAGCCCAGTAGGGAGACTGAGGCAGTGGTCAAGAGATGACAGTGCTGTGGTCATAGGTTTGCAACATTAGAGATGCTCCCCAGAGGTCAGATTTCAGGTCTATTTAGGAGGAGGTGCCGACAAGATAGACGGCTGTGGGTGAAGAAGAAAGTAATCAAGAGAGATCCAAACTGGGTCTGAACCATGTACTGAGAGGAAGACACTGTCGATGCTTGGAACTGCCTGTGTTGTTGAAAACACACTGAAATACATCAGTCAGCATCTCAGGGGAGAAGTCCTACTGGAGATGTGGGTTTGGGAGGCATTAGCTTCTGAGTAAATTTAAAGTTACGGAAGTGGTCTGGACACAGTGACTCACGCCTATAATCCCAGCACTCTGGGAGGCTAAGGCAGGTGGATCAGGAGTTTGAAACCAGCCTGGTCAACATGGTGAAACCCTGTTTCTACTAAAAATACCAAAAAATTAGCCAGGTGTGGTGGCGGGTACCTGTAATCCCAGCTACTTGGGAGTCTGAGGCAGGAGAATCACTTGAACTCGGGAAGTGGAGGTTGCAGTGAGCTGAGATCACACCACTGTACTCAAGCCTGGGTGACAGAGCAAGACTGCGTCTTAAATAAAAAAAAAAAAAAAGGCTGGGCACAGTGGCTCATGCCTGTAATTTCGGCACTTTGGAGGCCAAGGCAGGTGGATCACGAGGTCACGAGATGGAGACCGGCCTAGCCAATATGGTGAAACTCCATCTCTACTAAAAATACAAAAATCAGTTGGATGTAGTGGCCCATGCCTATAATCCCAGCCACTCGGGAGGCTGAAGCATGAGAATCGCTTGAACCTAGGAGGCGAAGGTTGCAGTGAGCCAAGATAGTGCCATTGCGCTCTAGTCTGGTGACAGAGTGAGACTCTGTCTCGCAGGAGGGAGAATGGGGTAGACAAGATCACCAAGAGATAGAGCACAGTTAGAGAAAAGAGCCAAGGAGAGAGCCCTGGGCACTCCACGTTTAGAGATCTGGCAAAGAACCAACTAAGAAGTCTAGAAAGAAGTTCTAGTAAGGCAGGATAGAGTGAAATATCAAAGTCTACAACAGAAAGTGGCTGGATCAGAGAGGAATGTTCAATCTTGCCAAATGCCACTGATAGGCACAGGTGAGGGAAAGACGAACACAAGCTTTGTAAGATGGTGACCTTAATAAAAGCAATTCCAGTAGAAAAGAACAGAGAAATCCGGCAGAAGATGGAATGAGGACATGGGGTCAGGAGAAGATTTTGGCTTTTTATTTTTTTTAAAGATGGGTGATAGTAAAACATGATTGCATGCCTTATGGCAATAAGCTAGCAGAGTGGAGAAACTGATGCAGGAGAGAGGCTCTAATTGTGGGAATGTAGTCCTGAGGGAGGCAGGAGGGCCCAGGATCTTCAGCATAAATGGAAAGGCTGCCTTTAGATGTTGAGAAACTTAACTTTACCCTGCCCCCATGGTTCCTTTGTGGGGAATACCTGTTAGTTTGTAATTAGTGGTAGGTGGGTATCAGCTGTGTATTAATGAGACTCACCTGTCTAAGAGCAACTAAATACGTGGATGAAAGTCTGCTCTGGGCCTTCAGCCTGGAGAACTGTAAGCCCCACAGGCTCTCAGGCTGTTGGTCCCCAGGTTAGATCCACTCTGTTGTGCTATCTGGGTGTCTGCCTCTCGAATACCTTCAGTGCTAGAAGGTTTGGTGGTGGGACAAAGCCCACGGGCTCAAGCCTATAATACCAGCACTTTGGGAGGACAAGGCAGGAGGATCGCTGAATCTCAGGAGTTGGAGACCAGACTGGCAACATAGTGAGACCTCATCTCTGTTAAAATTCAAAAAAACTTGGCCAGGCATAGTGGTGATACCGGTAGTCCTAGCTACTCAGGGGTCTGAGGTGGGAGGATTGCTTGAGCCCTAATCACACCATTGTACTCCAGAGAACTCCAGCCTGGCTGACAGAGCAAGAGCCTGTCTCAAAACAAACAAACAAAAAAGGTCGGGATTTGGTGGTTGAAGGATGAGGTAGTTTTCTGTTGACTGCATATATTTTCCCATGATCTATGAGGTAAAGTCATCAAGGGAGGGAAGGAAGCCAAGTTGAGTCAAGATGATAAGAAGTATCAAAAGTAGGAAAGTTCATGACTAACAAGGAAATGGGCCAGGTATGGTGGCACGTGCCTATAATCCCACCTACTTGGGAGGCTGAGGTGGGAGAATGGCTTGAGCCTGGTAGATTGAGGCTGCTGTGAGCCCTGATTATGCCACTGCAGCCTGGGCAACAGAACAAGACCTTATCTCAAAAAAAAAAAAAAAAAGGAGGATCAAATTCTCATTTTAAGGTTTACAGTCATATATCTAATATTAGCTCAGTCAACAAAGTAACAAAGTTGGGTATTTTTCTCCAGCTAGAGTTAGCTGCAGAGGTATAAGCAAAGATTAAGCACATAGCTGGGTTTAATCAGGCTTGGGTTTTGCCAGGTGAGTAGAGGGAGGTACAAGGAAGTGGAAATAGTGCCAGTATTTGTAATTTAAGCTCACAAGAAAGGATGTGAGGACATGATTGAGAAAAGGTCCAGTGGCCACACAAACATTAATACCTGGTTTCTTCAGTTTGCTTTACCATTAAGAGAAGTCTCTCAAAAGAAAGAGCTAATATTCTCTCCTGTAAATTTATGATTATTATTATTATTTTTAGATGGAGTTTTGCTCATATCGCCCAGGCTGGAGTGCAATGGTGAGAACATCCATCACTGCAGCATCCGCCTCCCTGGTTTAAGCAATTCTCCTGCCTCAGCCTCCTGAGTAGCTGGGATTACAGGTGCCCACCACCACGCCCAGCTAATTTTTGTATTTTTAGTAGAGACAGGGTTTCAACATGTTGGCCCGGCTGGTCTTGAACTTCTGACTTCAGGTGATCCACCCGAAGTGGATTTGGCCTCCCAAATGCTGGCATTATAAGCAGAAGACACCATGCCCAGTCATAAAATTATTAATAATATCATGCTACTAAAATTTATTTAAATTGTATTGTTTCATTTTCATCAAATCTTGATAATTTCTCAGAGAAATTTATTAATATTTTTGCTATGTACTAGAATTTCAAAAGGCAATTGACTTAATGAGCTCTTTTTTTTTTTTTGAGACGGAGTTTCACTCATGTTACCCAGGCTGGAGTGCAATGGCGCGATCTCGGCTCACCGCAACCTGGGTTCTGGCAATTCTCCTGCCTCAGCTTCCTGAGTAGCTGGGATTACAGGCACGCACCACCATGCCCAGCTAATGTTTTGTATTTTTAGTAGAGACGGGGTTTCACCATGTTGACCAGGATGGTCTCAATCTCTTGACCTCGTGATCCACCCGCCTCGGCCTCCCAAAGTGCTGGGATTACAGGCTTGAGCCACCGCGCCCGGCCTTAATGAGCTCTTGGGATGTACCAATAGTAAGTAATTCAAAACATATTACGGAAAATTTCAAACCTACAAAACTGGAGAGAATAGTACAATTCCATATCACCAGTTTCAATAATTAACATTACGCTATTCTTATTTCTCCTAGTTTCCTCCTTTTTCGAGTATTTTACAGCAAATTTTGCAGTTATCATGACATTTCACCCATAAATACTTGATATGGACCAGGTGTGGTGGCTCATGCCTGTAATCTCAGCACTTTGGGAGGCCATGGCTAGAGGATCACTTGAGCTCAGGAGTTCAAGACCAACCTCAGCACTAAAAATACACACACACACAAAATGAGCCAGGCAGACAGACAGACAGACACACACACACACACAAACACACACACACTAGCCAGGCAGATAAAGGAGAGAGAAGGGGATCTGAGGCCAAAGGGTCAAAATAAGCAATTGCACAAAGATGGATAAAAGTGCCAAGTGTTCAGGGATGTAGCCTTGGATAAAAGATTCCAGCCAGGCAGCAAAAAAGCCTAAGGAATTTATAGAGGAGCCATTAACCACTATAGCTCAGAAATATCCCCAAGGACAACCCTTTGGTCATTCAGGTCAACAGGCACCTGGCTCTAATTATTTTATTTAAACCATTTAAAAACGTTTGTGATGACTGATTTAGGCATTTCTTCAGTGTCAGTATCATAGCCTGCAAGACAAACCTCCAGCGTATACAGCAGTATTAAGTGGAAAGTCTCAACTATTAACAAAATATATAAAACTACAATCCTACATCGAATGCCCAAACCTTCCTTTTCTTTTTTTCTTTTTTTTTTTCTTTTTTTTGAGAAACAGAGTCTGGCTCTGTCACCGAGGCTGGAGTGCAGTTGCGTGATCTCGGCTGACTGAAACGTCCGCTCCAGGGTTCGAGCTATTCTCCAGCCTCAGCCTCCCAAGTAGCTGGGATCACAGAGGTGGGCTACCACGCCTGGCTAACTTTTTAATGACTCGGCTGGTCTCCAACTCTTGACCTCAGCTGATCCGCCTGCCTCGGCCTCCTAAAGTGCTGGGATCACGGGTGCAAGCTACCGCGCCCGGCCAATTTTCCTAAGCATCTTGCAGCCTCGGAGTCAAAGACCTTACTGGTTTTGAACGAGACCATTACCACAATAGTCATCAATAAGTAAGTGACTACAGTAGATCAGCGCTGAGTTATAAAAATTCACCCACGGAGGTGGTCCCCTAAAAGTCGCCTTTTTTTTTTTCTGACAGGTCCACCAACAAAGCATCAAGAAATTATCGGCAATATTACAAATCACTGAAGTCTAACTGTTGGTGAGTTTTCCAGCAGCTAAGCCAATTATGTATTTAACTGTCTAACAACTAACAACAGGGCTTTCTGGGTCTGCGTTTCGTCGTCAATGCCCTGAGAGGTACAAAGTAATTTCAAAAACAAAACAACAAACCAGCCCTTTCGGAACTGAGGCTTATCACATGAACACCAAGAGCAGCCAGCCTCAAAATGAGGTGAAAACTACAGTTCTTTTTCCGTTTCGCTGAGTTCTAACTGGGACCACCGAGAACTACATCTACAGCCCGAGGGGCAGGGAGAGCCGCCTCAGCCCCCTGGCTTCCTGCTCCGTCCCTGGGCACCACATCTCCCCGAGGCCGCTATTCCCGCCGCGCCCGCCCAGCAGCCTGCACCGCCAGCGCCGTACCCTCAGGTTGGCCCGGAGACGCAGACTCTTGGCTAATTTCTGCAGGTCGCTGTACTTGAGGGAGTCCAGCTCCTCTAGGGAGGGGACGACCATCGCGATTCGAAATTCCGGCGATACGCAGAAGACGGATCACAACACTCAGGTAGCGCGGTTGAAATCCCTGGCTCCAAACAGAAATTTCATACAGTTTAAAAAATGAAGAATGCCGCGCTTCCATTGGTTGAAAATGCCTCAAAGGCGGGATTTCTAACCCTGACCAATAGAAAGGCTGATTTCCCGTCCCATCAGACGCGCGCTTCTCCCACATCTCAGGAATGCGCGGGCGCCTGAAGGGCCTGTAAGGCGTGTGCAGGTAACGAGCGCCGAGCAGAGCCCGCTGCCCACGATGTCCAATGAGGGCGCAGGAGCTGTGCTTGGGGCGGGGCCTAGCGTGTATTCGAAACGGAGGCGCCGGCTGCAGGAAGATGGCGGCTCAGTCGCGGCGGTGTGTTTCTCCGCGTGCAACGCCGCCCCAGGTTGACTTTTGTGATGGCACTGAGAGGACGATTGACGAAGCTTCTTTTACGACCTCCATGGAGTGGGATACTCAGGTGGTGAACGGGTCCTCGCCGCTCGGCCCCGCGGGGCTGAAGGCTGAGGAGCTGGCCTCCGGCCAGCAGCTACCGTCTTGGCTGCAGCCTGAGCGGTGCGCTGTGTTCCAGTGTGCACAGTGCCACGCAGTGCTCGCCGATTCGGTGCATCTCGCCTGGGACCTGTCGCGGTCCCTCGGGGCCGTGGTCTTCTCCAGTGAGTGCAGTGCGGCATTCGGGAAAGGTAGAGGCGAGCCCGACAGGCTGTTCCGATTTCTCCATCGGTGGAGGAGAACCACCGGGGGAAGAAAACGGGGTGAAAATTTGGAAGACAATAAGTCCGTGGCCTGAGGGTGGGGCAGAGAACCGGGGAGTCTCCTGATGTTTATGGCGAGGATGAATCTGTCTATAGGAGAGATTTTCCTTTTTTTTTTTTGGCAGAGTCTAGGCTGGAGTGCAGTGGCGCGATCTCGGCTCACTGCAACTTATGCCTCCCAGGTTCAAGCGATTCTCCTGCCTCAGCCACCTGAATAGCTGGGATTACAGGCACCTGCCACCACGTCCGCCTAATTTTTGTATTTTTAGTAGAGATGGGGTTTCACCATGTTGGCCAAGGTGGTCTCGAACTCCTGACCTCGTGATTCACCTGCCTCCGGCCTCCCAAAGTGCTGGGATTACAGGCATGAGCCACCGCGCCCGGCCCAAGATTTTTCCATTTCAGGGCCCGAAGAGGCTGGGTTCTGACCCGTGTTTGTCTTTTTAGGAGTTACAAATAACATCGTTTTGGAAGCGCCCTTCCTAGTTGGCATTGAAGGTTCCCTCAAAGGCAGGTATGTATTGAAGATTACATATTGGTCTCTAGTCCCGGACTTTATGAGACTGAAGAGAGTGGAACTGACATATACTTCTTTTTGAGACCACGTCTCAGTCTGTCGCCCAGGCTGGAGTGCAGTGATGCCATCATAGCTCACTACAGCCCCTACCTTCCTGGCTCAAGCTATCCTCCACCCTCAGCCTCCGGAGTAGCTGGGACTACAGGCACACACCACGAAGCCTGGCTGATTTTTACATTTTTTGTAGAGACCTTACTGTATTATATTGCCCAGGTTTGATATTAGAACTTTTAAGTTTGCATATATGATTAGTTTGTAATAAGCGATGCCAGGGCTAATTCTTCAGTAACCCCAGAAACTGGAGAAAAATGCAACTAGAATGTTTTGTACTTGAATATTGCCTGGTAAGCTTTGCGTCCTGCCTCTACTATGATTTACAAGTGATAACAAAGTACTCAGTGAATTTGATATTACTAGGCTCCTGAAGTTTGAGTTTTGGCTTTAACAGACAGTTTATTTCATTCTGACCAGTTTGATTCAACGTTAGGGTTAAAGTATAGGAATTCTTAGTTGCTTTGTCCAGTAACCAGAAAGATTTCTGCAGCTTGGACAAACTTCACAAACTGAGTTAGACCCACAGCTACCTTTCTTTTTCCTGAATAAAAGATACTCCCTATCACTACAGGAGTCCCGTTCCTTTCCCATCTAAAGAGGACAAAGCAAGAAGGAGCAGTGGCCTGCTTAGAACTGGGTGTATTCTGGGGCTAGAAGCAGAAGCTTACTGAATGTCCTCTTGGAGAAGAGGCTAATGAATCTAGACCTGTGCTGTCCTATACTGTAACCACTAGTCATATGTAGCTATTATATATTATTAAATCTGCATTGAGATATGCTGTGAATGTAGAATATACACTGGATTTCAAAGAGTTAGTACAGAAAAATTAATCATTTAAAAATATTGATTACATGGTAAAATGACATTTTTGATATACTGGGTTAAGTAAAATATTTAAAAACTAATTTCACCTGTTTTTTATTTTTTAAAGCAAAACTAATAGAACATTTAAAATTACTTGTGTGTCTCACATTATATTTCTATTAGACAATGCTAGTTTAGATACTTTGTAAAAAACTGGAAAGTCCCAGTTTTCACCAAACCCCTTGGGTTTCTGTATTGTGGAACAAGATGAGCTATAGGAACTTGTGGAGAGGGTTATGAAATGGCACAGCTCAAGAAAACTTTATATTTTTTTTTAAGTGTATGTTCATTACCTAGATGGGATCAGAGAATGGATTAAGAAGATGATTATTGGGCCGGGTGTGGTGGACCATGCCTGTAATCCCAGCATTTGGGGAGGCCAAGGTAGGTGAATTACATGGTCAGGAGATCGAGACCATCCTGGCCAACATGGTGAAACATCATCTGTACTAAAAATACAAAAATTAGCCGGGCATGGTGGCTCGCATGCCTGTAGTCCCAGCTCAGCTTACTCAGGAGGCTGAGGCAGGAGAATCATCTGAACCCGGGAGGCAGAGTCTGCAGTGAGCTAAGATTGCGCCACTGCACCCCAGCCTGGGCAACAGAGTGAGGCTCTGTTTAAAAAAAAAAAAAAAGAGGATGATTACTGATGCAGCTAAAAGAGCATACATTTTGGAGAGCAAAGACTTGGGCTCTTTTAACTTTACCTCTTAGTAAGGCATGTAAAATAAATTGATCCCTCTCAGTCTGTCATATTTGAATAATTCTAAAATGTATTCCTCCACCCCCACATTTAAACATTCTACAGTTGGCATGAGCCTCCTAGATTCATAGTCATAAAGGAGACAGATACAAGGTTACTTCTTCCATCTACATTTTTTTGTTCTCTTACTGGTAGAGGATTTATTGTAACTACTTTCAAAGAGGATTATTATAGTATGCTGACACATAGAGACAGCTTTGTTACCCTTAGTATTTGTTGTGCTCAACAGCATATTTATTTAAATGGAATTTTGATTGTATTATAAATGAGGTACATTTTTTTCTAATTGTTACCGCAAATTCAAACACAAGAGAGAAGAGTATGATGAACCTCTGTCTACCTGTCACTAAACTAGAGCAGTTATCAACCCTTGGTGAATCTCTAATTTTATCTAAAATTATAGTTGGTGTGCTGGCTCACACCTGTAATCCCAACACTTTTAGAGGCTAAGGTGGGAGGATTACTTCAACCTAGGAGTTCAAGACCATCCTGGGGAACAAAGCAAGACTCTGTCTCTTAAAAACAAAATGAAACATCTATCCTCCGTAATGTTTCGAGGCAAATACCTGAAATTATATCATTCCATCCATAAATATGTGGTGAGGATCTTTATAAAAAACTTTTTTCTCTTACTTTTTGAGACAGGATCTGGCTCTTTCGCCTTCCAGGCTCAAGCCATCCTCTCACCTCAGCCTCCCAAGTAGCTGGAACTATAAGGTGTGCACCACCATGCCCACCTAATTTTTTGTAGAGATGGAGTTTCACCATGTTGGCAAGGCTGCTCTAAAAATTCTCAAGTGATCCGCCCACCTTGGCCTCCCAGAGTGCTGGGATTACAAGCATGAGCCACTGCGCCTGACCCATTAAATTAATTTCCATTGAGATATTTGTTTATAAGTACTGTGCTTTGTCTGAACTAATTAATTCCTATGTGGAATTTCAAATTAATGACACTATTTCATAGTTTGCTTTTTGGTTACTTATAGTCACAAGATTACAGTACTATATGTGTGGTGTGGGATTTCATTTACTAATAAGCATTTTGTTATTTTTTATATCCATTGACATGAATATTTCCTTTTTAGCTATGTAATTTTTTTTTTTTTTTTTTGATTAGGAGTTTCACTCTTGTCTCCTAGGCTGCAATGCAATGGAGCAATCTCAGCTCACTGCAACCTGTGCCTCCTGGGTTCAGGCGATTCTCCTGCCTCAGCCTCCTGAGTAGCTGGCATTACAGACGCCCACCACGATGCCTGGCTAATTTTTGTGGTTTTTTTTTTTTTTAGATGGAGTCTTGCTCCGTGGCCCAGGCTAGAGTGCAGTGGTGTGACATCGGCTAACTGCAACCTCTGCCTTCCAGGTTCAAGCGATTCTTCCGTCTCAGCCTCCCAAGTGGTTGGGACTACAGGTTCACACCACCATGCCTGGATAATTTTTGTATTTTTAGTAGAGACAGGGTTTCACCATATTCGCCAGGTTGGTCTTGACCTCCAGACCTCGTGATCCACCCGCCTCGGCCTCCCAAAGTGCTGGAATCACAGGCGTGAGCCAGTGCTCCCAGCCAGTTTTTGTATTTTTAGTAGAGACAGGGTTTCACCACATTGGCCAGGCTGGTCTTAAACTCCGGACCACAGGCAACCCACCCACTTCAGCCTCCCAAAGTGCTGGGATTATAGGCGTGAGCCACCATTCCTGGCCTAGCTATGTGATTTTTTTTATTTTTTATTTTTTATTTTTAATTTTGGGCTCTGGTATACATGTGCACATCCAGCATCCTGCAGGATTGTTGCATGGGTACATACCTGCCATGGTGGTTTGCTGTCTCCATTCACCCCTGCCTGTCACCTACATCAGGCATTTCTTCTGGTGTTATGCCTTCCTGCCCCACCCCAACTCTGGTTTTTATTTTATTTTATTATTTTATTTTTTTACCATGACTAAGGTGCCATGACAGCTATATGATATTTATGTCTCATTTTGTTCATAGAATTCTGCCAGCCTGGGAAATAAAGTAAAACCCCGTTTCTGCCAAAAAAAAAAAAAAAAAAAAAAAGAGTAGGGCATGGTAGCATGCATCTGT